ATGTCAAGGCAGCCAAATTTGAGACTGAATTGGGGCCTTTGTGGCTGGTCCTTACCTTCCTTTCCTGCACATCTCCAATGCCGGCCATGTAACAGAGCTCACATTTACCTTCCCACGTTTCATTGTGCTCCCCCATGTGCCTTTAAGGAATCATTCTTGATCTCAGTCATAAAACTGGAAAGCTGCATAACTGACAAGATGATCCCCGAAGGCAGCTGAAATATGGGGTAGATTGAAACTGACAGTTAATTTGTAGCAGTAAAAAATAATGATATCATCATAAAACAAGTTTAAGATTCGACTAGGCTCAAACACTGTGTGCCCACAGGATATATAGATGGGTATTGTCAAGCTTAAATAACAAAGCAAAACAAAACTGAACCTCCCAGCTTCACCAAGCCGGCTTCACTTGCTCTTCTATAGTACACTACCACCACCTGCTGGTTGCAGCCAATGAAATGTCTTGTGTTCTTTAAGTCCTGGAATATTCCATTCTGCAGGGCCTGATGTTAATTACTATGCACAAGGAAAAATATTTTTAACCTCACAATATCATTGAAATGGTACAAATAAGTCAGATCTTCCTAGAATATCAAACAAACGAAAGAACCCAAGAGACTAGAGATTGCCGAAAGACCCAGTCCTGTTTTGCCTGCCTGAAAGCTGCACTTGCTAGAGGTGCACATCCGAGCACGCTGTCTTTTTATTCCTGAGCTCTCTCCATACACTCCTTCCCTTTCTGACTTCCTCCTCCCCAGCTGCCTTCTCTACCAGGCAACCTACAGGGCACTTCAGTGATAGGCAAAGCAGCAGCTCACAGCTAAAAACAGCCTCCTCCTGGAGATCTTCAAGGAGGAAAACCACTGACATTCATCTCTTTCCAGAAAGCAAAGCCCCAGTGGAACTAAATGAGAAAAGAAAGGATATTGTTGGCTCTCAAAACTCTGAGAGCAATGTTTTTACATGATTTCCTCAGGATTTATCTTGCATTGTGTCTGGATTCCCTAACTCAGCAACAAGTGTTCTTTGGAGGGACAAAGAATAGAGACTTTATGAGCAAATAAAAAGTGGCTCATACTACCCTACTCATTTTATAGTATGTGTTCAATCTTTCTGTGTTAGACCTTTTATTACTAACATTGCAGGCCTCAGACTTCCCAACTATTTTCAACTATTAAGAAGGCTTTAGAAAATGTTCCTCTTCAATGTGACTTATGGGGTTTTTTTCCTTTTAATTACCTACAATCTATAATTTGTATTCAGTGAGCACATAAGAAACATATAGTAAAACAATTTATAAAAGTCTTTCAAATTGAAAAAGGTTTTAGCCAGGTACTGAAATTCTAGCTACTCATTTAAAAAATGTTTACAGTAATTCTAGCTACTGAGGAGGCAGAGATCAGGAAACTCTTATGTCAAAAATACCCAACACAAAAAAGGAATGGCAGAGTGGCTCAAACAGTAGAGTATCTGCCTAGCAAGCATGAAGCCCTGGGCAATAAACCGCCAAGACCACCAAAAAAGTTTTTATAAGCTAATGTTTTTATTGATGATAATATTTTAAAACTATCCATTAGTATCCAGTAGGCTACTTTGTAACAACTATATGCTGTGATGTCAATGGCCCAAGTTGGTGTTTGCATTGATAGTAGCATTAATGCCAAGGGAAGGCTAAACCTCCTTCTGGAGTACTGCTCTAAGAACAGAGGTCACAGCAGTTCTGAGAAGTGTCTAGGAAGCACTGAGTTATCACTTAGCAAATAGCTGTCAATGTCACATTCAAACTGTGAAGTTGCTATCTTTTTATCTAGTAAGAATAAGTTTAGTAGGAAAGAATTTTTGTTTTAAGGTTTGTTTAACGGAACACCGTTAAAACTGATTGGCCCATGAAAATAATGGATCACTGATTTAAATGAGTTTATTAGTAAAAGGTATAATAATGATGATATTCAGGATGACATAAATGATATTCTATCAGAATCAAAATGGATGATTTATGTCAAGAAAGTAAATAGAAAACATTTGTCATCTACTATCAAACATCAACTATCACTTTAAATGACCCTTGGCATTTTAATCATATTGATTTAATTTCTAAATTCAAGTGTAAATTTGAGTTGCTTTTATAGTTGTTAGCATCATGAAGAATTTATCCTAGTTTTATATTTCTACATAAAGGGCAACAATATAATAAAACTAATATAAGTCAACTCTGGAGAAAGCATGAGAATTTGTTTTTGAAAAGGATCTATACATTGCTCATGTCCGTGGAATTAGAGTTATTTAATTATGGTACCTCCTTCTGATGGAACACTATTAAATTGTTAGAATTTATGTTATAGAAAAACATTTAATGAAATGGTAAGATTATCAAGATGTGTTGATTAAAATAAATATAGTTACAAACTGCTGCAGTAAGATTCTAAAGTTGAAAAAAAAAGAAAGTAATTTCTATACACAGAAACATGAGTAGGAAGATATACACCTAAATGTTAATACATTGCTAGTTTCGTTTCTCTTAATCTTTGGGTACTTTCAAAAGTGTTTATAATAAACATTACTTTTATAGTCAGAAAACAGATATTTGAGTAATAAATCTGGGATCAAAACACTATTTTCTCTATGTGTGTATATACATGGTTATGTGCTTGTATGTGTGTGTATCCATAAAATATATGTATATATAAAATCATTCTCCAGGGAACCCGTTTCCTTAATGTTTAAATTATTGAGTTAATGCTACATCATTTTCCTAGTGAGAGGTTTAGTAGACTCCTTTTCATTCACTGGGCTGCCATACTTTCCTTTACTCCCATCAGCTACTAATATTGAAATCCATGACCTTTTGTGAAATCCTGTATCCTTTCTCATATTTTTAATATGAGAAACTTTTACTGTAATTTAAAATTATTGCATAGGATGTATTTACCCATATATGTCATATTGATATGTGCTTTATATATGTCAAAACCATGGAGCTGAAATTTTCATTCATTAAATTATAGAAAATGTCTGTCACAGAACTAATTGGCAAAGCTTGTCATCACTGTCAAGCAAATCAACTAACTCAGACTTACTTTCTAACAGAAAATGTCTGACTCCCTTGTTTGCTTTAAATAAACATGTTAAATTACATCTTGTACTTCCTTACCTATAAATTCTAATTTATTGTTAGTTAGACCAAGGCAGAAAGACATCAGTTTGTTGCTGACATGATATAAAAATAAAGTTTATCAGGCTTCAGGGACTCTTACCAAGGCTTACTCTGCTTTGCTTGTACAGGGACAATATAGTCTGAAACACTGCTACTGCACACCATAATAAGATTAGAGAGGGGTAAGAGACACAATTTTCTTGTACAGAACAGAAGAGAGTGACAGTGAATGAGGGAGGGGGAAGGAAAACTGGTCCCCACAGCCATTCTCTGTGGTAGATTAGTTAAAGGAAAGCATACGGATGGTCGTAGTCCATTTGTACTGCTATAACAAAATACCAGAGACTGAGTTATTTATTTATAAAGTTAGGCATTTGTCACAGTTCTAGAGGCTGAGAAGTCCATGATCATGTTTGTTCATCTGCTGAGGCTCATCCTCCAGAGGGGCCAAGCTCTGTGTTCTTACATGGTGGAAGAGCTAAGGAGTAAGCTAACCTAGTGCTGTGTGCAGACTTTTTAAATAAAGGGCCTTAATTCTGTTAATGAGGGAGAGGACCTTATAGCCTAATTGACTACTATTGGCCCCAGTTCTTAATGTTATCACATGGGCAACATCTGGTTTTTGGAGGAGCCACATTTAAATCAGAGCACAAGTTGATTTTAAATTTGAGGATCTGGTAATCCTCAGAAATTATATGTTCCTGGAAAGCCTGGTTGTACCCCCTACCCCAGGTTTATGAGGATCTTGTTTGAAAACTTCTCCTTTAAACCAACAAGTTAAAGGAAAATGTTCCATTACTAGAAATAGATTTTTTAAGTCAAAATACTAGTTTTCATACTACATCTTAGAAATGTAAAATATTCATAAGAACATACAGGATCACTCACCTCTTTCAATGAGTTTGAAGTTTTTTTTAGATAAGAGGCACCTTTTTGAAGATAGATCACTCAGACAAAAATCTTACAATCATAGTCTCATGCCTTAACATGAGAAAATGCCTCTCAATTGTTCCAAACTTTCAGTGATTAAAATATTTACATATAGTTCTCCAACTTGGGCAATTTGACCTTTGGAAGGCATTTGTAAATTATTCAGTTATGACCTCCTTTTGTATTTCCGCATTACCCCGCCCTTGGATTTCCATCAAATACATAAAAGCTTTCATTAGATTATGGTGTACAGGGTAATAATTACTGTGATAAAATTGAACTTAATCTATGAGCAATTTTTTTTAGTGAATGCTCTAGGAAGGAATTGTACTACATTGTAGGAAATGTGTTATCAAATCACTCCTTCATGCCCATGAAGTACAGAAAATGACTGTATGTGGAAGAACTCACAAATAGTATGTGGGTGCTTCATAATAGTCTCTTACTGTGTTTGAACTTGGAATGCAGTAATAAACTACTTCCTGTCAGTAAGTCTGTCAACATTAGCCCTCCTTTGGAAAAACTTTATCTAATGCCCCACCGTCTTTCCTAGGCTAGAAGCAGAGTGCTTCTCTGTACTTGCTGGAAATCTCCAGCAGCACAGACATTATCAAGAGGATGCTCTGTCCTTGTACCTACCTTCCCTGGTTATCGTCATATCACTTTCACCAACACGTTCTTGTAGTCTAGTCATAATAGCCTTCTTCCTCCCCAGCCCCAGGAATTCCCATGAACTAGCTTCTTTGGCAATATGTGTTTCCCTCTCACTCCCCTACTAAACCCTACTCTCCCCTTCAGACACCAGCACAGTATGAGACCCAATCTATGGTCAGGTAAAGCCTTGTACTTATGATAACAGTACATAATTATATCATTGTTTCTTTGATTATTTGATTAAGTCTCTCTCTCTTGATAGCCTTGAAGATCCCTGAGGGCAGGGTCTATGAACATTTCATCACCATCATATCCCTACCGTTCCTGGAACCTAAGAGAAGCTAAATAACCTTAATAACAGTATGAATGGTCAAACTCTGCTTGAGATACAGCAGACCTGGATCTTCAGCCAAAGTATGTTTAGAAGGACAATTCTCTGATCAGGGTCTGCAACCCCAAACTTTGCCTTGCAAAGCCCAGAGAACTTGTAAGGTAGGCAGTGTTTCAAGTCTTTTTTGGACAGTTCCCTGGGTAAGGTGGAAATTGAAAAATGTGTTTTCCTCATGGTCAACACTACTGCATTTTCTGGTCTCCAGACCCTCAATGATCTTTTCTCTGGTTCCTCTCCATTGGGCCTGAATTTCATCTGTTCTATTCATTCCTGAATCAGCTAACAAACTGCCTGCCACCTATTAGGTGCTCAATAGACATTTATCAAATAAATCAACCCTTAGCCTATGCCTCCCCTGTTGTACAAATCCCTGCAACTGCCCACAGAAGAAATGCCTGGCACTGTGCCCCATTTGACATCTTTCCACATTAATCTAACTCTCCTTTTTTTAATCACCACTTATTTTTTCTCCCTGACTCATTACTTTCCACACACAAACTGCCATTTCCCTCTGAGAGGTTGGCAGCAACATAATTTAAGTTGACCAAAAGAACTTTCTTTTTCTCATAACCCAAAAAAACAAAGATGAAAAAGCAGCCCCACTCTGTTCTCAGCCAAATGTGCCTTGGAAAGACTTGATTTTTGAGCTCAGAATCCAACCCTCTAATTATCTAAACAATTCCACAAGTACAAAATACCATATTTACATATGCAAAGCAAGAAGGAGGAATTAGAATACTTAATTTATTCACACAATTGGATGTTGAAACAACTACAAATTCAGATACTATTTTTTGCAAATTTGCATTTCCCAAGTAGCCTTATAATATTTTCTTCTTTATGTAGCATCATGGTCATCAAAATCTTATCTCCAAACAATTGATATTTAAAGAACTTAAGTTTTTAGGTAAATATTTGGAGTATGTTTGCAAATTGAGGTTCCATAAGCAAGGCTGTTAACTTACAGGGCTCTTGAAAATGAGGTCTTTGGTTTGCAAACATTTTGTTCTAACACCTAGGTTAGGAGGGAGGGGTACATTGATGGCTTAATAGCTTTTGCTTCCTAGGTAGACTCATTTAGAATGAAAGTGATTATTTAGAAATCCATTTCATTCTAAGCAAATGTCTTTACCCTGGGAAAATAAAACAGAGCTACTGCTGGCTAGTTCCTGAGCAATTGTTGCCATTTTATTCAGTGTTCTTCTTTATTACTCCAATAGTTTAAGTAAATATCAATAATAGTCCCCATCTTCCTTATGGTACCATATAAAACTTACCCCATGCAGAAAATGTATTCTAATGAAATTATAACCTTTCTTCAGTCTTTCTAGGTCAACACTTAATGCTCTCCTTTTCTAATTTTATACCAGTTCACAGCAGAGTTAAGGTCTAACTCCATCCTGGAATGACACATTTTCTACTTGGCTGTCTTGCTGTTTAATGTTGAAAATCATTCCTATGGGGACAGCACCCATGAGGTCACCTCCCAGCCCATAAACTCCCTAAGAAACAGTCCAACCTGTCTTGATCCACCTTCTCTTGGCAGGTTAAATTAAATTATCTGCAAACTAAGTTAAAGAGATGGTTGAGAATCTTTAAATAAATGGAAAATTAATATACAATAATTAACACTATGCTTGGACCTTGGAGTTCATGTCTTTTCCCCAGTTTCACTTTTTCCTGCATATCTGAGAATCAAAGCTTTTTCATTTCACTAGGATTGTTTTAAAAGTTTAAAACTTCCCTTTTTCTACTAGTTATCTAGGAAATCCAAGAAATAGCTAATTGAACTAGGTGTGGTTCACACCTGCAATCCCACCTGTAATCCCAGGACTCAGGAAGTGGAGGCAGGAAGATCAAGGCCTGCCTGGGGCTACATAGTGAGAGCCTATCTGAAACAAAAAAAAAAAGCTAACAGAAATACTTCACATTCTTTTCCAGCTTGTTATATCATTTTATCATTGCTCAAGATCTAGTTTCTGAATGTGCAAAGTTCAAGATGCGACACCCAGACAAAGGTGATATTCTACGTGCACACAGGAGAGAGAAGCAGGAGGCATTATTACCCTGTCTGCACACTGTGGACATGAGCATTCTCATACAATTGTCAAGTGTGACCCCTTCGTCTAATATCTAGCTGCAAAAATATCTGGAGAGGCTCACGATTATTTCCCTTTAGGAAAACAATAAAAGGATTTATTGGAAATCACTGAACCTGCCCTATAGAGTAAGAGCTATAGGTGGGTTACTATGCAGCTCATTATAATTAGCATATGAAAAATAACAGATTTGGTTCCAACATTTATTTTAATTTCTCCCTTATGAGGAATTAGGAAGTGCTGGAACCATGGTGCCAAATGAAGCATCTCTGTACATACACAAAATACCTTCTTATATTCTAAAGATTGTGTTGAGTGCCCTCTGAAACCCCATTCTAAAATGTTCATATCACATGAGTCCTAATTATATAAGATTAACATTTTAAATGCATTGAAGGATGTTGGTTTTTCTCTAAGAAGCTCTGGTAAATTCTGGACCTTAGCCAGTTAACTTATTCCCAAGGTTAATGATACCACTCTGTATCTTTCTCTACCTGAGTCTATAGAAGCTCCCCTGGATCTTTGGAATTTATTTCAGTTTTCTTTTTGTATTGTATTACACTAGGTAACTGAGGGAAGTGAAAAAGGAAGCAAGAAGGACTTTTACTCAATTCTTTTGAATGGGTTTGTTAAAAGCTGGAAATATATCCCCAATGGGTCAAAATATGAATCTATAACCTTTCTGTTGCCCTACCTCTCAATGCTTTTTGTCCTTAAGTTTCTTTTACCTTTTCACACAGCAATTCTCTTTGTGAATCTATCCTAGAGAAATAATATAAAACATACAAAAAGCATTATGTCAAAAGATAGTAAATAAAGGTATCATTTAATAGAAAAAATAGAAAGGTTCTAAATAGTCAATAATAAAAGAATGATTAATTAAATAATTAAGTATTCATTATAAATTATATTTACAAAAAGCTTAAAATAATATGTGAGTATATATGATAAAAATTTTGTGGATTTAAAAGCCTTTGTACATTCAGTATGTGTGCTATCTTAGTTTCTATCACTGCTATAAAAAATACTACCATAAACTTAGTGATTTAAACAATACAAATTTGTCATTTCACAGTTCTGGAGATCAGAAGTCTGAAATGTAGCTCCCTTGGCTAAAACCAACATGTCTGCAAGACTTCATTTTCTGGATGCTCAAGGGAAGAATCTAATTCCTTGCTTCTTGAGGCCTCCTACATTCCTTGGCTTGTGGCTCCTTTCTTCGGGAACAGGTTGAATCCCTCTCATGCTGCCGTCTTTCTGGGTTCCCTTTTCTGCCTCCTTCCACTTTTAGGGACTTGAAATTATACTGGGTTAATCTGAATAATCTACTTACTTGAAGGTCAGATGATAGCCAGCTTGAATACTCCTTTGCCATATAATCCCACATATACACAGGTTCCATGGATTAGTATTAATGTGTAGATACTGTTGGTGTGCCCATTATCCAGCCTACATACATTGTGCAAGAGAACAAAGCAAGTACCCAAACAAAACTAAAACAAATACAAACAAAATTAAGCATAGAAAATCAAGATTAAAATATAACAAAATCTTTGTACTACTTAGTAGAGCTGTAGCTTATTGTTTTTGTTTCCTCTACTTTTCCATAACTTCCAAATTTTATTATTGCCCCTGGTTTATTATTTTCCATATAATAATGATGCTATTATTTTGATAATGGGAAAAAGTCTTACCAAATAAATGACTTTTTAAATCATTGTGAGAGAGTACTAGAATTATACTCTTTTATCTTTTCACTTGAATTTTTGCTTGCAAGTAATCAACTAGCTAAGGGAAATGAGAGGCTAATAAGTGCAATAGTTATTAATACAATCCCCTTGAAAATATATGGTAATGCCAACTTCATTGACTAAGCTCAAAATTGCATGTCAACTTGTACTCAAATCCTGTCTCCTCAATTAAAAAGCAGACAATTTAAGAGTAAGTATAAATCATATTTTTAAATTATCAAATTGTTGAAGAGAATACTTAAAAGAGATTAATCATCACTCATGTAAATATAAAATGAACACATGTCAAAGATTTTATTTAGTCCAATAAGTAATAAGGGAACCTGAAAGGTGGGACAACCTGTTGAGAGGGAACTTGAAGCACCACACATATATATGATCAGATAAGAAATTCTAAGATAATTTTATTACGAGATACCAGACAAGTCTTTCACAGAGCTGTAATCAATTTCTTTTCACCAGACACAATTAATTACATTTCCATGGACTAAAATTATTTGTATTATTATCTGTTTTCCACAACTTGGAGAATTATAAAACAGCTAAAAGGTAGTGAAAATCAGAAATATCCCAGAAAGTCAAGAACACAGGAGATTCTCTCTCTCTCTCTCTCTCCCTCTCTCTCTCTCTTTCATGCCATCCTTCCACAATTTCTCCTGACAATACAGTACTTCATATGACACCTTATGCATAATTGACACTCAATAACTCTTTGGACTTTGAAAGATTGAAAGTTCAATTCTGGCCTAATTGCACTAATTATATTTGGAATGCCAATTACCTCCTCATATATTATTCTTTTTCTTTGACAGCCCTAGTTCCTTGTCCTCTTCCCTAGCTATGCTTACATCATAAGAAGAGGAAAGTTCTGGCATCTGGACTTTTGGGCAATATTGCTGAAGGTTTGATTCTGAATTATAATGTTAGTTTGGTATAATTATAAGAAGAAATCTTAGAATTCATGAGACAGAAAGTGCTAGACTTACTCTCCTAATTGAGCTGGAACTTACATGGCCTAAAAAAGAAAAGACTGCAGAGATGACCAGGAAGCTATGGCATCCTTGGGGTTATGTGCCAACGTTTTAATTCTCAGGTCTTCCAAAGTTAAAATAAGCTATGTTTTTCAAAAAGTTCAATGATTTTCTTGAAAAATCTTCATTTTTAAAGACTCCATTCCCAGAACCCCATCAGAAAATTCTAAAAGTACGTGAAGCTTCCCTTGAAGAACTGGAGAAA